GAAGTCAATAATCATTTACAATTTATTCAATTAAATATTCAAATCATTAAAAATTCAATTAAATATAACCATATTTTTTTTTAAATTAGTCGGTAGTTTTGTTATTTACAAATAATTAAATCCAAGAAATAATTTAAACGATCTTACTGATATGTATTTTGGCAGTATTCGAAAGAGCTGCAGTGATCATCCAATTCGTTCTTGCTCTATACTATGATTACATTACAAACTTTAGTGAACGAACTTTGCTAAAGTTGATTCAGCGTTTACATAATCGTTTCGGGTTTTCATTTTGACAGTTGCTGTTTTTGTTATCTCTTGTTTACATTTGTTTTGATACTTGATACACTTTGATACTTGTGAATATTGTGTTTGTTTACTATATATTTTGTTAAAAATTTATGTATCAAAATATAATTACATTGCTCTGCAGTGAATCTGCACAACAAATAAAAGTTTCTCAATAATTGATTAAATACATTACGAATAAAGCGCCGCCAAAATATTGTAATCAATAGCGGCAAGTAAATATAGAACATTTTATAATTTCTTAGTCTAAGAAAAATTGCATATAATGAACAAAATGAAACAAACCCAGCAAATAACAATTAACAATTTTGTTAAAAACTTGCATAAAAGTTTAAAATATCAAAAATGAATTTGTAAACTATTAATGACTTTCATTAAAAATCAATTTCATTCAGAACTATTCATCAAATTTTTTTATTTTGGTAATCCAAATTCGAGATTAAACACTGTAGTAATAAAAGAAAATTATTTTAATAACAAAAGTTTCTATAAATATAATTGTTGTTATATTTCCTTTTTTATATGCAACTTTCTTTATATAGGTATAGAAAGTTTCTTTCTACTGATCACCGCTTGCATTCAACTTATGGTAAACAACTTAAATGTAAACAAACAAGAGTGTAAACAAAACGAAATGTCATTTCGCCCTTTTCATACTAAAAACTTATCGATAACGCATTAAATTCAGCACTGTATTCAGGAAAAGGTATTAAATGAAGCTAACTTTCGGTCAAAGTTCGAGTTCTGTTGTGCCTATTTTTATATCGCAAAATCGACTTTGGTTGATGGTTTTGCGCTTAAAGTCGATTCCAGCCAGCAAAGTTCGTAATGTAAACATAGTATAAATCATGAGTTTTGAATAATTTTTTTATTTAAATTTGTTTTGTAATGTTTGAGTTTAAATAAATTGTAAATAGTATGATGTTTTTTTTTGTCTCAATCTATTCGATACAAAACATTAAAAATTTATTTTATACGTACAACAGACATAAAAACCAGAAGATGATATAACCGTTTTATTTAGCAAGTATCAAGAGTGGAAATTTACAGCAAACCTATTTGCTGTGTCACTTATTTTAGTGTTTATAGCAGTTTTTTTCAGAGTTGAAAAATAATTCATAAATTGATAAAGAAGTAGATAGTATTGTACTTACATCTGACACGACTTTCATTTTAATTTTTCGTGGATATAAAATAATTATTGTCAACAGAAAACCGAAAATACTTAAAATTTCAATGTTTGTTTTTTTTTTTAAATTATTTTTATATATTTACTATAATCAAATATTACTATATATTAGAATAATTATAATAATTGTAAGTAATTGTTTTATATCGATATATTATTTAAAGCAATATCATTTCATATATTTTATTTATTTAGATGAACACTACGATAAACATCCCAACGAAGTTGTAAAGAACGAGGAACTCACATACAGCAGCAGTGGTTCAACTATACATCGTCAAATATTAATCTTAACATATTTTAATGATTTTATTAAAATGAAAAATGTTTTTATAAAAAAACTTGCTGCATTAAATATTGAAAGAAAACATTTGATTTATAAACATTTTTCTAACAATGTATTTATACCATACCAGCAGTGTTTTTTTAACGCATTACTTTCACACATTGATAATATTATTTCACATTTTCACCTTATGCTATTAAGTATTCTGTTTGCTTTTATATCACAATATCTTTATAAGTTTAATATTAGGTCAATAATATTAAATAATAACAAAAAAAAACCTTTATCAAAATCAACAATGAATATAAATACAAGTGCTAGAAAATCAAAAATTTCGTCCTATTTTAAATTAAAAATTTTTAGTAAATTTTGCAATACTGTTAGAGGCAATGAAATCACAACATTTCGGTGAAGACTATAATATTTAAAAGGCGTTAATTATTATAATTAGGTACTTTATGTATTAAGTACTGTACATAAAAAATAATATAATTTGATAACATACTGAAATGTCATATAATTAGATGTAACACCATAACTATGACTTAATATTTTAATGTAAAAGTTTTTTTCTGTATTTGGGTCAATATGATAACAATTGTGTTATATTTAAATGTATTTTTTAAGAATTTTATATGCAGAAAATTATTTAATTGTATGTAACAATATAGATTATTGAAAAACTATTATTTTACATAAAAACTTAAGCTCCCAACTTAAAAAACAGTGAAGTAAAAGTGTATGTTCCAAATATTGATAAATATGGAAACAAGTAATATTTTGTAAATGAATCTAATTAATCTATGTGAATATGTGAGTTTATTACTCAAAACAAAAATACGCAATAACACTAATTATATAGTTATTGAAATTTGGACGCCATGTTCATTATATGAAACCGTTTAAAGAAAAGAAAAAAAACAAATATTTTTGATTGCATAATAGCGTATAAATGTACTTCAGACATTTTTAAATGAATATGTGCAGTTTCAATAGATTTATTATTGGTACCGGTACTGGTACTGGTACTGGTAATTGATATAAATGATTGCAAGACGAATTTGTGTTAACAGTAAAATTCATTTCCATAATTTTACAAAAGTTCAAAAATCTACTAATGCAGAAAATATTTGTTTTACTTTATATTTAGGAAAAATCACTTAAGTAACATTTGTAGTGTAATAAACTATAAAATTAACTAATTTATTTAAGATTTTAAGTTTTCGAAATATATTAAGTAAGTGATAGCTCTTAATGTATTCCTTATGCCTTTTTAGTGATAATTATTCAATTGTAAAAAGCTTATTTTTTTTTTTTGTTAAAAGCCTATTTGAAATTAATTGAATTAATAAGATTTCGTTCGAAAAGAATTTTATTAGAAATCAACAAAAAAATGCCAAGAATTGAATTGTAAAATCAGTTGTACTGATTTTTTTTTAAATTTGAAATAATAAGGGTATGTCCATTATTCGAACGGAATAAACGTTAAAGGTGATTTTTTGGTCCAAGAAACGAAAAGATATGACTTGGAGGTGTCTATTTTCAATATTCACTGAAACACATAGAAAAAGTCTGTACGAAAATTACCTCAGTATGTCAGAAATCATTTATCCGAATAAATTACGTTACAGTTTTTTCATGATTTTAAAAGATATGATTGTTCAATGTTAATTTTTTATTCATCCTTATCTCAAAATTATTATAGTATTGTTTTTGTTCGATTTTTGTATAAATTCGTTTTTAATGTTAACTACATATTATTTATTTTCGATAAATCTAACTACTTAGATAAGTTTTCTACTTGATACTAAATATTGGTAAATATTGGAAATGGACTCTTCTTAGTAAGGTTTTTTTTGTTCATTTCTTAGACAAACAATTATCTCTAACATTTATGCAGTTTTAATACGGAATAAACTGAGTTAAAGTAAACAATTTTTTTTAATAATTTAAATGTTATTTATTAAGAAATTAAGTTTTAGCTTTCTATAATTACAAAAAAAATTAAGCTTGTTTTATGTTTTGACTCAGCAAAAGTTTTGCTAAACTAAAGCTTTTAACTTGCAAAAAAGTTTGGCAACTCATGAAATTCCGAAGTTTTTGCAGTTGAACAGTACACGATAAAAAGGTTGCGACTGCAAAATATAAATTTATAACTATTATGAGATATCAAATACAAAAATTGTTACTGACTTAGAAAAAGAAGTTAAACCAATAAGTAATATTTTTCTCTTCATAAAGAATATATAAAATTGAACAAATGCCGCTTGCTTAATCTGTGCACATGTACCGAATCTGAAATACAAATGAAATAGGTGCTATTTATATACGTCTATAGCATCCGAAATCTGTTGCAAATTTCTTATCTACTTGGTCATTTGTGCACCATAATCAATTTTTTAAGTTAAAATCAAGTTATCAATATGTTGTAGATTTAGATATCATAGAATTCATTTTCAATCAGTAAATATCTAATGTTTTATATACTTAAGAATAAAAATACAATACTTTATTAATCTAAATCTTCTAGCAAATGCCTTGCTTCAACGCAGGTGCGGGTAAAACATTTAATACTGAATACATATATCAATGAGATTATTTTAATATCAGGCACATATATTTCATGGCAATACAATAATTGTCAAAGTATTTTTGTGGCATTATTAATTTATATTAATATTAATATTTTGAGAGCACTGCATGAGGTTTTCGCGAAATCTTCAACATAATTTGTTTGTGCACCGTTAAGATATATTCAAATCTATATCTGGATTAGGGATGTTTATCATCATCCCTAATCCCTAATCCAGCAAAAAAATCTAATATTTCATATTGTAGATGCAAAGTGACAGTAATTAATGTCATATTTCAAGATATGAAACATCTTTTTATGCATGCATCATTACGCATTTGAAGAGTGACAAAACATTATGACTAATTACATTTTTTTTTACATATAATGAATCTCGAATATAATTTCCATTATCAAATATAGTAAGGCTTTCAGGAATATTTGTTGTAGAAGAAGTAATTTCTAAATAATTTATTAATAATAATTATAAATTAATTAATAAAAAGATTTTAAATATTTTTAAACTGCCATAATAATGACACTTAATTTAATATTTTTTTTTGAAAGTGTTGCACAAAATGTAATTACAAGCGTTTGTCATTTTATGACTACCGAATACCGAAGTTTTTGCTTTGATGTAAAATATTTTGTTGTTCGAAACGGAAGTTCGAATCTTTTTAGAGTATTTATTGTGTTCCGATTTCAATATAGGCTTTGAAACATAATGCAGCCAATCTTGGGAAATTATAGGTTTCAATTTAGTGATATGCTAAGCAAGATCACAAAATGAAAAATTTTATTTTATTTGACTAATCATTTGTATTCATGGATTAAAAACAATTATTTAATTAATTTTTTGTATAATTTTAGAACTTAAAAAATAAGTATTGGTCCTTGTTTCTGTATTTAAGATAACCAGTTTTAAAAATGTGTGT